TTTTTTGCAGGTTTTTTTATAAACCTTGCTTTGTTATTTTCATGTAGTACTTTGTTTTTTAGCGCGAAGCTACACAATGGACTTGTTTGTTTGTTCTAAATTTCGCACAAAGACTAGAGGGAAGGCAGCTAGTCATCACCACTCACCGCCAACTCTTGGGTTACTCTTTTACCAACGAATAGTGGGATTGACCTGACATTATAACGCCCCCAAGGCTGAAAGGGGCGAGCATGTTTGGTGTGAGGGGGATTCGAACCCGCGACCCTCAGATTGCGAGTCGAGCGCCCAAACCACTTGGCCATGCCGGGCCACAATGGATTACATGCACTCTTTTCACTGCGAGGAATCAAATCCAGAATTTTAGTGTTGTAAGTCCGCAAACATACCGCTGACACAGGAGACTTTATCTGTTAAGGAAGAAAGTCAGAGTACTAAAACTAAGTCAGATTTATGTATCAGAATAAATAAATTATATATATATATTCGATTTTTACTGCTTTATTTCCATTTTCATTCAGTGTTATAATTATGGAGAGTGATCAGTTTTCACAAAAAGGCCATTGTTCATTCATAACATCCCACGCAACTGCTACACCATTCAGAAATCCTGCACCATCACTCTGGGGCTACTTTCAACAGGCCCCTCTGTTGTCTGCTACGTATGTGCACATTAACGCAAAAAAAAATCACACTATACATTGTTAACAATGCGCACGTTTCATAAGATACTAAAAACGACGCTATTGTTAGAGAACAAATTACGACTTTGAAAAAAAAACTTCCATTTTTAGACATGTAATGGAATTGTCAACAGTTCTTGTATGTAATAATCTATGTATGTTTTCCATAAAGGCAACAAAAAAATTATACACTTTATACTATAAATAATAATTTCGTATAACTGACAATATTTTATAATGTGCAACAAAAAATTATTATTAAATATATATATATATATATATAATTAAATACTTCTAAGTCATGTAACCCTACCTTGTCGGCACGTGCATTTGCCTCACGAGATTGCTGTTCGGCGATCTCAGCCTTGTCGATTGCGTGTTCTTTCTCTTCTTTCATAACCTGCATTTTTTTCTTGATAGCTTCCATTGTTATTGTTTCTGGGACTTGTAAGCTTCTAGACGCCTGACCACTACTAGTTAGAACTTCTGAGAGTCACTAAGTTACATTCAGGACACTAACATTATATAAACGTAGGAAAAGATTTTTTTTATTGACAGGGGAGCGTTTCGGTCGCTGAGGGAGTGGTTTAACGGACGTATCTCATTGCTCATTGGTTCATTTTTAATAGGTTAAACATTATATTTTAGCTGTGTCTTGCTGAATAAACTCAACTTGATCTCTGCACAATAATTATTCCTTCCAGTATTGCTAACTATAGAAATACTCCGTCAAAAGCTTTCTTTAATATTCAAATTAGATGGTTTAAAAAGGGTTAAAATTATTATATTTGATAATAATCAAGCAACACGTAACAAAACAAAGATCTTAAAAACAAAATAAATAATTATAGTATTTTGGCACTTGTGTATAAAGTTAAAATCATAAATAATATTCAACGTTAAACTGGTACACAATTAAAGACATTTTAGATAGGCCTAAATAAAATGTTTTTAATTGTGTACCAGTTTAACGTTGAATATTATTT